TTTTCTCGTTCTTCTTGTTCTTTCTTTTCCTCTACAACTGCTGTAATCTCTCTTCTTGTTTCTTTTCTCATTCTCCTTGTTTTTTTTGCTGTTCTTGTATTGCTGCCATCAAATCTGCTGAGCTGTAGTTTGGTTTGCCACTTCTCGTTTCCATCTTCTTTTTCTTTTCTTTTTTTTTTCAATCCCACTTCTGACACAAATTTGTTACGTCTCTGGTCGTTTGTTAATTTTTTTAGAAATTCTTTCCGAGAAACTTTAGCAATACAAGTCTTTTCTTAAATAAAACTAGTTTATTTTTTCTCAATTCAACTTTGCAATACACTTAATTTCCTCAGTCATTTTAACTTAAACTCACGTTATAATTCACAACGAACGATTCACGCGCTTTACTTACTACCGCGCTTGACTCAATTTTCCGTCTCTATCTTTGCCTGTCTGCAATTATCTATATTTATGCCGTCACTTCTCGCCGGTCTTATATATACGAAATAGAGAGCGTTTGGAGAACACTCGAGCCTTCACGAACGTTCTAGATACTCATTACGTGTTACCAGAGTCACGTGAATTCCGCTGTCGTAACACTATCAATGTCATTGTTATATATTTGTTTATTGTGTTACCTACCACTTTTTGCTGAAAATTGACACAAATACTAATGGAAAATTCAAAAAGACATTCATAAACAAAAACCATTTTTTATTTATTTGCAATGCAAAATTTTTGTTGTGGGATGGAATTTGTGAAGAAAGTAACTGACCTTAGCCCGTCATTTTGTCGTATTTAATTGTGCTGGTTGGTTTGAACCTCGCTCTCTTTAACATCCAGTTTGCGAGTCAGGGAGATATGTTTGATGGGTTGGTTCCCAAACAAAGATTTCCGGTACTCTTATCTTTAAAATTTTGAATAGAGATTTAAACTTCTTGCGATATTTGGAATCTGAATTGGCCATCAAAGTGGCCAGATTCGCATTTTAGTTTCCAGGCTACGAGGGAGTAAAGGCCATCTGATTCCTCAGCTCTATAAAGCCGTTTTCTCCTTGGTTTTCGCAAGCCCTGTCGATAGAAATGGCCGAGAAAGGCTCAACAAAGCTTACTTGTGGCTAAGTGTGGTGCCTACCTGAACACTTCTATACTTTTTTTTCAAGAGGATCATAGCTCAGCCAACCCCCTAAACTCCACATCTTCGTAACCAACACTATTGAGAGCTGAGTTCTTTTGGCAATAAAGATTATTATTTTTAGGTTAACAGAGCGATCCTCATATCGCAATAGATTTTGTCTGCTCTAACTTGAATACCGGAAACTGTAGCACCCTTTTGTGGGCCACCTAATCTTCCAAATTCGGTCTAATTCTCTCGCAGACTGGTTGTTAATAGATCATATTTCACCATTGCCATACGAGTTCTACTTTTTCGAAAGTCTACACTTTTGTTCCTCCTCTCATTTTTTGTTTTGGTAGATAGTTTAAAAATTCCGTTCTTTTCGGGCTTTATATGGCAGAAGCTAGGCAACAGTTTGTTCATTGTTTACTTTTATCGGAGGGACTTTTATGTAGGATCGGATCGGGACAGATATTTCGGCTCAGTTGCCTATTGTGTGCCGGAAAGCTGATCCTAATCCGCAATCCAACCAAGAACCTTAGTTAAAAGCAACAATGCTCTTTTATGCTTATCAGTTTGTGCTTCTGTTGTGACGGTAAAGTAAATAAATATCTATAAAACCAACCAGTTTGCTAAACACTATAGAACATTTTAACAATTGCTTCGATAGAATAAACACAGTCTCGTTTGTTAACGTGCCTTTAGACATGGCAGTTTGCCTGAAAGGGCTGCTGTACATAACATCACACAATAAAAAACAATAGTGTTGACGTTTCAGTAGGGATGCAGGTAGGAGGAACCAGGACGTTTCAGTATGGATGCAGGTAGGAGAAACCAGGACGTTTCAGTAGGGATGCAGATAGGAGGACATTTCAACAGGAATGTACAAGATGGTTTCGCATTTGACGCAATTCTGTATTACAGCTAAGAATTCATTCAAGAGTAAATATTCTACCGTTGAATAAAGTATTACACATATTACTGAAATAATAAAACATCAAAGAATATCTAAAAAAATAGCGTTTTTTAATTTAGTATTTTGTTTGTGAAGCTTTAAAACAACAGATCTTATTTTACAAACAGTATAACAAATTTGTATAAGTACTATGTTTAAATTGTTAAATTCTTCTGTACTGTTTGTAGCTTTATTTCTTTAGTTAATATGCAACTGTAATTCGTGATTACTTGTAGTATATATAGCCATGGGCGTCCGCAGGGAGGAGGACACTTACTCCTCTAGAAAATGAGAAACATCTTTCTTTATTCATTCAATATATACACTATTGATTTAGACTTTGTTCCTCCAGGATATTTTTTTGTGGACGCTCATGTATATAGCTGAAAATAAGAAACTTTATCACATTCTACATTATGCCCGTTACCGAACGTTATAAAAGAATCGAGTCAAGCACTTTGACGTCACTTATGTATTATTATACCTTTTTAGCTACAATAGTAACGTTTTAAAGTCTCGTTTGTATAACGTATTTTTTTTACATTGTTTAGAAGTACATGATTTTAAGTCTGTAAGTTTTACAGGTTTTCCTTGGTTTTTTTCAACTGCCTCGCTGTTATATTTTTGAACAGGATTTATGTAAATAAAAAGTTTATCCTAATATTTCATTACATTTATGTTTTTATCATAAACTAGTTCGTTCTAACTGAAAACATAAATTATATTTATCAGGTTGCCCTGTCTACGTACACTTCTGTTTGTTTGTGCGTGCCTTTAATAAAAGCTGGAGTTCGGCATGGTATTTTTGGAATACTGAGATTCATAAAGAAACTTGGAAATCAATACATGGTTATTGGTATTTACTTCTCACTAACACCATGTATAAATTATAGCTGTTTGTGCACCAAAGGCTCTTTCAAAAAAAAAAATTATAATGTATGTATGTTTGCCACGAGGTATTAATACTAATAAGTCGCTTTAAATTAAGCCAGTCACGCATATTACAGACATTCGTCGAAAGACGGCACATTTGAAGTTCCCGTTGTCTCGTAAAATGTGTCCTTGGTACTTTCGTTGACTTCACCAGTCAGTGAGTCTAATATTTATTTAATTATAGAAATGAGATTGAGAATACAATCGGAACAAAACCAACCAATCAAATACTTTTAGCTAATTTGCTTTGAAAGACATTTTGTGTGAAGTGATTGGAAGATGGTTAGCTAAGATGATCGCAAGCCTAGTGTTTTCAGCTTTCGTGCGCAGCTTACAGATAAGGAGTTTTCTTCAGCTTCTGGACTCGCAAGTGACTGCTGTCAGACCTGTTAGTTGTGTGTTGGGTACAGCATACCGTGTAGACGTTTCATTGTGTGTTGGGAACAACGTACCGTGTAGATATTTCACTGGTAAGCTCATTCGCTTTTGTTTCTGAATTGTCAATTTTATGTTTCAGTACTTAAGTAAAATCGTGAGAAATGTTTAGATTGGTAGGATCATCTGCCTTTAGTTTCTGAACGGTAAACTTCATGTTTCAGTATGTAAGTAAAATGTTTAGGCTGCTAAGTTCATCTATCCGTCGTTTCCTAACTGTAAACTTCGTGTTTCGTACTGAAATAATTAATATTTTCTACTACATTTAGCTCGAACTAATACAGTTTCACAGCATTCCTTTTACACGTGTATTTAAAAGTCTGAAACAAACATATATAATACTGTATTTTGAACACACATGTAATATACTGATATACACATACACTTTCCGTGCGTATTTAGGTGAAGAGCTATATAGGCATTTTTCTGAGGTGATGGAAGTAAATCATAACACTCCTGAAATATTGAAGGTCTTGTGTTTTATATTGTAAGTAATTCTTGGATATGTAGTCTGACGATCATCACTCCCACCAAAAGCATTACTTAAGTTAAATTTTATTTCTTCTTTCACTATATATATGTGTGTGTGTATATCCAGGCCTGTACGCAGAATGTTTGAAAGAGGGGTTCTAATTTGCGAGAATAAAAGCTAACACATATTGTGCGAAGCACAATTAGCATGCAAAGCATGCTAATGTTACGGGGGTCTTGGGGCATGCTCCCAAGAAAATTGGTAAAAAAAATAACTGCTATGAGATTAAATCTGTAAGCAATTTTGCATGAAATATATCTTAGACAATTGCATGGCTGGTCACATAAAATCCACAAATATCCAATGAAAAGTCAACAAATCATCATTCTATTCTAACACTGCAGGGGAAGCTAGACTTAAATTAACGTAAATATGTATGTTTTATTTTAGTAAAGTACTGTACTATCTACATACAGAGTAGTTATTAATTGTTAAATTATATTACTAATTGAAACAACTCTGTACAATCTAACCTATATAGTGTGTGTCACGTCACGCGTGATTTCGCGAAGTAGGAGTCATAAAAGCCAATATGCACTTGTTCAGATCGAATAGTTCGACTCCTGGCTGCCCATTGCGATTTTGGTGACGGGGTGCAAGGGGGCCGTGAGGGGCGTGAAACCTTATAAGTGTAGTGAGTGTTAGTATAATAAGCCTAAAATAAAGACGTAGTGTGGGATCACCTAGCCTAGAGCCAAGTGTATAAAATTTATCATGAAAGTAAAAATATCGATTCCATTTTAAACTTAAATCGTTTCTGAATCAAGCTTTCTTCTGTTATATCACCAACGTTTTTAATAATAATAAAAAACTCTTTAATCAATGGAGACTTAAAAAGTTAAGAAATCAGTTTTATTCTCCATACTTTTTATACTTTCAGTACATAAACTAACAACAATATTAGGTTATACTTTTGTTTCTGAGCAACATAACATAAAAGCCATTGTTGGAATATAGTGTTACCCAAATGCACTGGCTTTTCTATATATCAATATCAGAAGTTGTTAATCTGATATTTAGTTTTACCAATAATCATTCTATGAATACGCCACGAATTCACTTCATGAATGATCTTAATTTTGATTGGCTCACAATGGAATTTACCGACGTTTAACTGCTTCGACTGCACTTTTCTCTCTATGTTGGTCAATTTTGATTTCACAAAATTTGTTTATTAAAATTAGCTATTAAGTGCAAGGTTAAGGTATATTATGGAGTGGGAGTGGTAGTACTTGCCCTGTCCTCTTTGACGGCTCTACGCTAGTAATAGTATATTAGCTATTTCAATCATTGGCTATCATATATGTACATGTACGCACTACTGAAATTACATGCTAGCATGCTCCATTATTTTGGGTTACTTTTCCATAAATAAATTGCACACAGTTTCAACGTTAATAGCAGTATCATAATGATCATGTATTAAAGCTAGAGCATTCAGTCTTTCTTCGGTTTATGTTCATCTCAGGTAATTATTCAACCGGCGGAGAGCAGATGCCGAACGCTCACATGAACATGAACTTAGTGGAAGTGTGACAAAGAGTTTCATTAACATAAATATATATGGTACACTAAGCAGTCAGTATCTGGGACCTGTCCTGAAGAGGTATAGAAAGCCATCTAATCTTTCATCGATGAAGTTCTTCATAAAAAATATCAGGATTTGAAAAATCTTCCCTGTAAAAATCTATAGCCTGCCTGATTTGGTTTATTTTGAATTTCGCGGGGATTCGAATCCGCGACCCTCAAATTGCATGTCAAGCGCCCTAACCTCTTGGCCATGCTGGGCCAGCCTCCCTAATATCAGAGATAAAAAACTCTTGTGTGAGCTTTGATGACATAAGTTTCAGAATGGATGCTTCTTGCTTTACATGTGCATCATATCTGGAGTAATTATTACTGATAATGTGGTCAAGAAAAGGAATGGTTACTGTTTTCCTAAAATAATCCTCCACGGAACTATATTCTGCATTTGCACGTTGGACTTGTCGTTGACTAACTCGTGGTATGCTAACATTAATATTAGATATGTTTACAATATTACTGCTGTCCTTTAGGATACAATGTGAATAATCATCTACATTCACTGTTAGTGAAGTCAGTTCTTTACAGCATTGTTCTGTAAGGGAAACACCAGAAACAATATCTTGGCTTGGACCTTGCAAATGTATAGATGTTTCTTTTTTCAAATAGTAAAGGGAATGTTGTAAAACTGTTAAACAAAAATGAATTCAAACGATTCCAGTATTTTTAGATAAGTCATGGCATTTTTCATGTCTTCAGCAACCCAGTTGCCATTAAATATTTCAAAATTATCATCTCCCTACACAATAACCTCACACATGTAAAGTAAGAATGGATGACATAAACAGAATCTTTTCCAACCTTCAATATTCTCAACCCAGTGTGTAATGTACACATTGAATAGTGGAAGACGTGATGAAGCTGCTCCATGCTGGATGTCCTTTTGATAAGTTACCTTTAATAGTTCCCCATGTTTAGGTGAGGATTTAATCCAAATAGTTATTCCTTTAACTTGATCGATACAATTTTGTATTGGTGGAACTGAACATGAATTTATACTAGCAAGATTAAGTGAGTGACAATTACACAGGCCTACGATGGTTTTATTGTCTTGAACTTTTTACTTGTTCTTTAGTAATTTCTGTACGCTGAATGAGAAAATGATATCCATTTTTCTCCATCATATACAGATTTTTCCCAAAACGTCATATGTACTTTTACATAAGTGAATCATTTTCATTGAAATCGGGTCACATTTTGTTATGCTTATAAAGGTTGACAACCACTGGCTATAGATTTCTCTAGACAACTCGCGACGTGAGAGTCTTATCGGTCAGTCTAAAACCCACTAGAAACACACCGCTAGTATATAAACGGTTAACAGGCCGCATGACCTGCCATTTCTGGATAGTATTTGTTTGTGCATGCACTTTGACATTATGTTTTTATTTTCAATATTATTTATTCGTCGCTATGGCAACAAGAGTTTGTGGAAATGACCAAAACATATTCTGTTATATCTGTGGTACATTTGTTGTAAAGATACAAAGGTAAAACATTACAGAATTCATCAAAAAAGCGTATTGTGCGTATTTTGAAATAAAACTTGGGGACCAAGACAAATCATGGGCTCCGCACAAAGTTTGCCCCGTTTGTGTCGAAAAGTTGAGACAATGGACTAAAGGTAAGAAAAAGTATTTGCCTTTTGGAATTCCAATGGTCTGGAGTGAGCCTAGGAACCACAGAGATGACTGCTATTTTTGCTCATGTAACGTGCAAGGCTACAACACTAAAAAAAAGAGAAAATTTCTTATCCGAACCTTCAATCTGCTATAAGATCTGTTGCTCATGGACCTGATGTACTTGTACCTTCTCTATCGGAGACTCTTGATTCAGTTTCATCTGATTCTCATGTCAATAGCAATGGTGATGGGGATTGTTTTCAACCTTAAACGTCTCGTAAACCACAACTTTTTATACAAGGTGAACTTAGTGATTTGGTGAGAGATTTGGGCCTTCAAATGGATTCTTCAGAGATTTTGAGGAACAGACTTCGGGCTAAGAACTTACTTTCTCCAGGGATATCAACTGGTACAGAAATCGTGAGAAAGAGTTTATACTATACTTTTTGCAAGAAGGTTCACTGGTTTATTGTAACAATATTGCTGAATTAATACCAGTGCTAGGAGCTGCAGTCTATGAATCAAGTAAGTGGCAATTGTTCATTGATTCCTCCAAAAGAAGTCTAAAAGGTGTTCTCCTTCACAATGGTAAAATATATACATCTGTTCCTATTGCTCATTCGAACTTCTTCTTAATAAGGTCAAATACAAATAACATGGTTGGCTACTTTGTGGAGATTTAAAGGCCCTTTGTATGTTGTTGGGTCAACAATACGATTATACAAAATGTCCGTGTTTTTTGCGTATGAATGGAACAGCAGAGCACGAAATCAGCACTGGCTAAAGAAGCAGGATTGAAAAACATTGAGCGTGAAAGTTTGGATGACACAAAGAAAATCCTATTACCTCCATTTCGCATAAAACCTGGCTTAATAAAGTAGTTTTTAAATCCTTAGACAAAGATGACGACTGTTTCAAGTATCTATGTGGGCAATTTCCAGCTCTTTCAGAAGGGAAACTTAAAAAAGGGATTTTTGTTGGGCCTCAGATTAGGAAATTGACTTTGGATGAACAGTTCGAAAGGACAATGAGAAAAGTTGAAAAAGAAACGTGGATTGCCTTTAAAGTTGTTATTGACAATTTTTTTAGGAAACAACAAGGTCCTAAATTACAAAAATATTGTCAATAACATGATCAATAAATTCAAAGAGTTGGGTTGTAATTTGAGCTTGAAAGTTCATTTCTTATACTTACATATTGTCTGTTTTCCCTGGAAATCTCGGTGCCATCAGTGAAGAACAAGAGGAAAGGTTTCATCAAGACATCAGGGAAATGAAGAGGAAGTATCATTTAAGAA